TAGCTTCACAAACAGGCTAGAGTCTCAGGGAATGCTGGATTGAAGAACCACTTGTTGGATATTTCTTCGGAAACGAAGATCCGATTATAATACTATCACTTATTGAAAGTCTTTTGTGTACCTAATTTTATTACCCTATTTTTTTTGTGTGCCTAATTTATTACCCTAATTTAATACCTTATGTGTATTTACTTTAAAATAACTTTAGGAATACTATCAATATCATACCCATTTCCCACGTGACAAAACTGAGGCCCAGGAAGATAGATATTGTGCTGGGATGGAACCCACAGCCACAAAGAGGCAGGCCAAGTGCTCTTTCATGGAACAATGTCCCTGGCTCTGTGCAAGCCCTCCTAACTGATCTTCATCCTTCTAATACTATCTACTCCGTCTGCACATCCCCATTCTTCCCTGGTTGTCGTTCTAAGCTGTCCTCTCTGCGGCTCCTCCCCAGCCCTGACCCTCATAGAGCTCACCTCTCCTGTGTCCTGTGCCACTTCAAGTTCATTTTGTTCTTCCATAGTTTTGTTTTGGGACCATATCAAGCAGTGCTCAGAGCTTACTCCTGACTCTTTGCTTCAGGATCACTCTTAGTGGCATTCAGGGTACCACATGTGGTGCTCAGAATTGAAGCCAGGTTGGCCATGTAACTTCCTTACTGTACTAGATGTTGTACAGGCACGTTCCATGTGTAGTTACTTGTCCTACCCTAGGGTCTGGTGTATCCTGTTGTGATCGCTTGTATGAAAATACTCAGCATATAATCTGCTTATAGATCTTTTTTTTTGGGGGGGGGGTCACATCCAGCAACGTTCAGGGGTTACTTCTTCATTCAGAAATCACTCCTGGCAGACTCAGAAGACCATAGGGAATGCCAGGAATCAAACCCAGTTCTGCTGCATGCAAGGCAAGAACCCTAACCATTGTACTATCTCTCCCACCCCTGCTTATATGTCTTTTCTACTTAAATATCAGCTATTTAGGCATAAAACTGGCGTCATCGTCATTCACTTATCTCTTTATCCAATTAAAACATATATTGAGAGCCTCTTATTTTGGGGAAAGGCTTGGGAGCACATCTGGGAATACTTGGGGGACCATGGGATGCCAAAGATCAAACTATAATGGATCCCATTGAGGGCAAGGGCCTTACCCCCTGTACTATCTCTCCAACTTTTTAGAATGCTGCCTGTGAAAAGGCTCCTGGTGGTAGCTCAGATATGAGGCCCTAGATTTCATCCCCAGTATGAGAATCAAAGTGGCAGTAGAGGAAAGGGTCCCTGATATAATAAGATAGACACTGTCTCTATCTTCATTGCTATCCAGCCTTTCACTCCTGGTTCTTAGAAGTGGTAACTGAATGCAGATCACACTTCCAAGATACTGAGGGCAGGGACTGGGAGAAGAGTGTGGTTTAAAATAGTGAGAGTAAATGCTTTGCACGAGACAGATCCTGGATAACATTCCTAAGATGTTCAGAAGGAATGGAGACCTGTATTCAGTTTGCATTATACTAAAGGAGAGAACAGTAAGGAAATGAAGGGCTGGGACATTTAAGAAAGGAAGTTCAAGAGGTTAGAAACCTTGCTTTGATGCAGGAGTGTCAAGTTCGATTCCTAGCACCACATGCTCCCCTGAGTACCACAGGACTGACTGGAGCAGTGCTGGGCATGGCCATACCTCTCTTGCTCTCTCATCAGCACAGACAGGAAGAGAGAGGGAAAGGAAGAGGGAGAGGGAGAGAGATCACTCCTGGCAGGCTTTGGGGACCAGATGGGGTGCCATGGGTGGAACTTGATTGGGTTGGTCTCATGCAAGGCAAGTGCCTAACTTCTTGTACTACAGCTCCAGCCCAGGATTGGTAAATTTATAGGTAGGTATAATGCAGGGACTAAAGGAGGGGAGGGGAGACCACCCTGGTGGCCACTAGTCACATGCCCAGGCACAACTAGGGCCAGGGATTTTCAGGAGAGAGGCAAAGGCTGATGGCAATGAGCAGTGCAAGAGAAAGATTCATGATGATGGTCACGTATGAAAGCTGTTTCTTGAAGTTAAGAGATTTAGAATTCAGAGTCAGAGAGATTACAAGGGGTTAAGGCATTTGCCTTGCAGACCGTGGACCTGGGCTCAATCCCCAATCCCCATATGATCCTACCAGGAATGACCCCTGAACTGTAGTAAACCCTGGCTAATTGGGTGTGGCCCCAAAACTGAAAATAAGAGAGATGATTTTTTGACTTTGCAGGAGATAGAACTCAGATAGAACACGAAAGAGGCTCTAGGTTTGATCCCCAGCATCCCAAACACAAACCTACAAACAAGAAGAAAATCTGCACTCATCAGAAAATGTAGGGCATGGAGGGATAGGGTGGGATATTTCAAAGAAACATCTGACATTCTTTGAAGGATGGAATGTTTAGTGGGAGCAGAGACAAAACATATACTGGAATCCAGAACGACAGTGGAAAACAGGGCGAGATGCAAGCAGGCATGAAAAATAGAATCAATAGACATTGGAACAAAAATACACTCAAAAATTGTAATTCGAAAAGCCATCCAGGGTTGGCTAGTACAGGGGGTAAGGTGTGGACCTTGCGTGGCCAGCCCCTGTTCTACCCCCCAGGATAGAACTATGCACTAGGAGCCATCCCTGAGTGCAGAGGCAGGAGTAACCCCCCGCCAGGGAGTAATAAGCCACCTAGCTCCATGCAATGTTACCAAGTAGGAATTGTGACACCAAAGTCCCTACTGTATCCCTGAAACTAAGATCTGATGGGGGTGGGAAGACAGCTAAAGGGAGGCCCTGACCTCCTGGGACCTCATGGTTCAGGGAACACAAGTCAGTGCAACACGCCACCCCCCCCCCCCCCTTCCCGGCACAGTGTGTCCCCAGACCAATCAATGATCCAGAACAGAGAGCTCCAGAAATGGTAAGTAGGGCCTGGAGACAAAGGAAGGAGAGCACACAGGCTCAAACCAAAGCGCTCATAGCTAACCCCTGACAAAGTAGGGTGTGTGTGTGGTCAGAGAGAGCTTCTGGCACCCCACCTTCGGGTCCTTAGAGAAAGGCTAGAGCATGAGGCACTGGAGAATGCTAGTAATTACTCAGGAACTTGTGCAGATAGGTCCATGGTAATTGTGGTTACGTGGCAGTTTGATCAATGAAGGATAATGTAAGTAGATGATGTTTTACACGGCCTTTTGAGACTTCTTTTTGCGTGAGACCCCCTTTGAAACACTAGATTATGAATCCACTCCTTTTTCTTTTTTCTTTTTGAGTCACACCCAGCGATGCACGGGGTTAATTCCTGGCTCTGCACTCAGGAATTACTCCTGGCGGTGCTCAGGGGGCCATATGGGATGCTGGGAATCATGCAAGGCAAATGCCCCACCCGCTGTGCTATCACTCCAGCCCCATGAATCCACTTCTAAAACACATCTGTAACACACACAAGTAGTTTAATTTGGGGGGTCCATGAACTTTTGAAACTCATCTTGTACTCAAATAATGCTTCCAACCCATTTTTCCTCACGAGAGGCTGCAACCCTGAGATCTAGTTTAGGATCCAGAAGGAAGCAGCTTCTGGAAGCAGGTGGATTTGCTTTTGCCTTGGGGCCACAGTGGGCTGGGCGAGGTGGACCATCCTGTGGTGCTGCAGTTTCGAATCCGTGCGTAGCATGCAAGGCAAGAGCCCAACCGGCTATATTATCACTGGGGTCCCAAGAAGCAGGTGGATTGGGGACCTGGGTCATTTTTCACTTTGCAAAGGACAGACGTGGCTAATGAGATGTACATATCCTGCTTTTCATCTCCCAGGAAGCTGTTCTGGGCACGACCAGTAATGGTTTCGGACCGCAGACAGAGCTGAATCACTCAGCAAATATTTAACGGGCGCCTGACATATACTGGCACCGTGCCAGGAACTGAGCTCACCAAGATAAAAAAAAAAAAGGAAAAAGGTGAAGGCAGTGAGGGTGGCGTTGAAAAAAGTGTCACCCGTTGAAGAGGTATTCAGGGTTAATGGGAAGGCGTCAAGTTGCCAGTTTGGTTTTTTGGTGGTTCCCCCTCATTTCGACTTGTGAACTTGGTAACTCAAGCCAGTTACCAATCGCTTGTTAAAAGAGACCGTTAACAAGTCGCCAGCCTAATAAAAGGACCAATATAGGTAGGGGCGAGTGATAGCACGTGGGTTGGGCGTTTGCCTTCACGTGGCCAAGCCCGTTAGATCCTCGGCATTCCATCTGGTTCTCGGAGCACCACGGGAATAATTCCCGAATGGAGAGCCAGTAGAAACACCTGCGCACGCCCGGTGGCCCAAAAGCCCAAACAAAAACCACCACTGTGGTGGCCAAAGCGATAATCAAGGGGGTAGGGTGCTTGCCTCGCGCCGGGCCAACCGGGGTTCGATCTCCCGCATCCCGTATGGTTCCCCCGGACGCTAGGCGCAGTTCCTGAGAGCAGAGCGAGGAGTTATCCCTGAACGTGGCAGATGTGGCCAAAAAAGGGAAAAAAAAAAAAGGACCACCTTACGGGCTGGAGCGATAGTCCCGTGGTTGGGGCACTTGCCTTGCACGCGGCTGACCCGGGTTTGATCCCCGACACCCCACAGCGTCTCGGTTTCCCTCCGCTCCCTAGCAAGCCCAGGGTACCCCGCAGTGGAGAACCAGGAGTCATCCGTGAGCACCGCCCGGGGCGGCCCCCAAACTAAAAAAAAAACCAAAAAGCCAACCCAAAAAGACCACCGCAGTCCAAAGGAGCACGGACAGATACGAACGCACGCCTGCGAAGCTCCGAGAAAAGGCGCGAGGCGCCCAACTCGGGAGCCCCGGCACGCGGCGCGGGTGCGCTCCAGGAGCCTTCCGGGAGCGTGCGACTTCCGCTTCCGCCGGCGCCCCGCCCCGCACGCCGGAGAGCCAGCCCCACCCGGGCGCGCATGCGCTCGAGTGGGCGCGGCGGGCGAGCGAGCGGAAGGGCGGGGGCGGGCCCGGCGGGGCGGGCGCGCGCGCGCTCTCCCACCAGCCCCGCGCGGGAGGCGGGGGGCGCGCGCGCGCTCGCTCGCGCGGCCGGCTGCGTACAGTAGTGACGGCCGCGCGGGAGCGGTCACATGACCGGAGCGGCTGCCTGTACAGTAAGAACCCAATATGGCAGCGGCGGCAGCAGTGGCAACGGCAGCAGGAGGACCGGCCGCGCCGTAGCCCCCCCCCCCGCCCCGCGCGCGCCGCCCCCGCCGCTTCCTCCGCTCGGGCGCTCCTCCGGCCCGACTTCCCCTTTCTCCCACCTCTCTCCCGGCGCCGCGGGAAAAGCCGCGCAGGGCAGCGCGCAGCCGAGGGAGGGCGGCCGGAGCCCGGACACGGGAGCCTCCCAGTCCGTTCAAGACCCGACATGAGGGAAAAGGGCCGTAGGAAGAAGGGCAGGACCTGGGCGGAGGCCGCCAAGACGGTAAGGGCGAGGGGGCGCGGGGCGGGCTGGGGGAAGAGCCCGGGCTGGGGCTGCGACGTGTCGGCGCCCGCCGCGCGCCGGGGGACGGAGGTCACCGGCGCGGCGACCCGGCTCCCGGGGCCCCCGGAGCACGCGCGCGCGGCGGTTGGTGTCGGGGCGGCGGTGCCGGCGGCGATGGAGGCGGCGCCGGCGGGAGCGGCTCGGGCGGCGTCGGCGAGCAGCAGCCCGCGCCGCGGGGTTTTGTAGCCGCCGCTCGCACCCGGGACCCCGGCAGCCGGCGGCGGGGCGCGGGGCCGGCGGCTTCCGAGCGGCCGGAGGGCTTTTTCCCCCTCCCACCGCCCACCCCGTCGGGTGCGCCGGGCGCGGCGGGTGCGTGCCGCCGGCCCCGGAACGGAGCGGGGCGCGCCGGGGCTCGGGAGCGTCGGTCGCGCCGCTCCGGGCAAGACACGCGGCTGGCCCCGGGCCCCCGCCGCCCCGCGCGCCCGCCGCCGCCGCCGCCGCCCGCTCGGGCTCACGCCGCGCTTGTTTTTGTTTGCTTGCCGGCCGGAGCTGCGAGTGCCGGAGGTGTTTAGAAACGAAGTAACAGGTGGGACTTGGAGAATTTTTTTTTTCTGTTTCCGTAGAGACCTACTCCGAACACGGCTGCAATGCATGGTGGGACGTGTAGTTCTCCCCGGCCTTGACTTGTGTCCGTTGTTGCAGCGATGTTGGTGAACATCGTAGCCAAGTTGTAATTAGGCGGCGGTGGCGGTGGTGGTGGTGGGTGGGGTACCGTCATTTAAAAAAAAAAAAAGAAAAGTGATTTTTGTTCAACGAGATGTCGAGGTAGGTTTAAAATAACCGGCTCTAGAGTTGATTGATGCGGGGAAAGAGCCGACGTGTCTGTAGAAAAGAGTTAGGGGAAAGTCAACTTAGGGTCCTGTGTTTGCAGGGCTTTAAATCCGAAGGCATCTTGAATATTGGATAATGTCACTTATATTTGTACGTGGAGCGCACTTGTCAGGAAGCCTTTAATGTATGTTACATGGTTTCTTTACAAATGAGTTTTTGTTTTTTTCCCAGAATAGAGACGTAAAAGTTCATTGTGAGAAAATTGGAAACTTGAAAAAGAAATCCCTCTGTAGAGCTCTGTGTCTGTTAACGTTTTGGTTTATTGCCATCTGGTCTTTTTAAAATTTATTCTGCAAATCTGAGTCCTACTGTTTATGCAATCTCCTGCATTTGTTTTGTAAATCTTGTGCTTTTGTTGTGTAAACATGATGCCATTAGGTTGGATGAGTCCTAAACTTGTATTTCTGTTTCAGTTGGAAATGTGCAAAAGTTGGCGAATAAATAAAGGCACGTTTTATTTTATATTGCTACTTACATTTTTATATTGATTTCTATCCTTGCCTTCTAATTAATAAAACTCGAGGAATTGTGGCCCCAGAGAGAACTGCAAGTAAGGTGCTTCCCCTGAACGTGCCCTACCCGATTCATTCCCTACACCCCTTATGTTCAAATTCCTAAGTACCGCCGGGAGTGATTCCTGAGCGCAGAACCAGGAGTAACCCCTGAACATCCATCAGGGTGACCCCAAACCCAAACAAACCAAAAAACTTTCAAGAAACCATTGTTTTGGTGGTGGGCTGACTGCTCCTTCATAGACTTTTCTTTGTTCTACTTGATGAATATATATTGGCATCTTCATTTTCCTGAAAGAAGTCTGTTAGATTTTAATTTTTTTTTTTTTTTTTTGGTCACATCTGGCGATGCACAGGGGTTACTCCTGGCTCTGCACTCAGGAGTTACTCCTGGCGGTGCTCAGGGGACCATATGGGATGCTGGGAATCGAACCCAGGTCGGCCATGTGCAAGGCAAACGCCTTACCTACTGTGCTATTGTTCCAGCCCCTAAGTAAAAATTGTAAAAGAGAATAGTGACAGGACCAAACAGAGCTCAGCTGTGGCCTATATATTTAGGATTTTTTTTTTTTTGATTAGTTTTAGGGCCATACCCATACAGTGTGGTGCTTAGAGCTCACGTACTCAGGGCTTACTCCTTGTTGTACTCAGGGGTCACTCCTGTTGGGGCTCTGGAGGGCAGTATGTGGTACTGTGGGTAAGCTAGGATCCACTGCGTGCAAGGCAAGTCACTTACACGCTGAACTAGCTCTCTGGCCCTGGAGCGCATGTTTTGTGTGTGTGAAGCAGGGTTGTTTTTTTTTTTTCCCCTTTTTGGGTCACACCTGGCCATGCACAGGGGTTACTCTTGGCTCATGCAGTCAGGAACTACTGGTGGTGCTTGGGGTACCATATGGGATGCTGGGAATCGAACCCTGGTCAGCCGCATGCAAAGCCAATGCCCACGCCCTACCTTCTGTGCTATTGCTTCAGCCCGAAGCCGGGCTTTTAATCTCTGGCATGACATAGTCCCCTGAGTTCTGAGTCAGGAGTAGCCCAGAGCACTGCCAGGTGTGCCCTCCAAACCAAAAAGATAAAAAGAGACAGTGGTGAACTAATGTTTTTCAGGTGTCAGTTGGCTTATCTCCTCAGCTGTAAAGTGAGGAATTAAACTAAACCTCTGCGTTCAAAGGGTTTGTGTTTGTGGGAGGACAGAGAAGTGTAGGCAGAGTGAAAACAAAAGTAAAGCTTGAATATTTCAGCCTCCAGTATAGCTATAGTGAGATCAGGAAACCTGTGAGTTCGGGTCGGGGGTGTGAATCTGGTAGAATACTTGCTTTGAATGTGTGAGCCTCTGGATTTGGTCCCTGGCACCACGTGAGAAAAATAGAAAAAAGTGTTTTTTCAAAAATGGAAGTAACTTTGTGTCCTGTCCATAATGGAGCCTGTATTTAGAAAATTATGAGGACTAGGAGGAGATCTCCTATATTCCTAGAATATCTGACTTTATGTCGACAAGGAAATAAAATTATTTATGAATACAGGCAATATCTGCTTCAAGTTCATTGTGTTCTTGGTGCTTTTATTGCAGAGCTGTCCTGTTCTAAGGAACATCATTAGGCTGAGGAGATAGTTCTTATACAATCCAGAGTGGCCCTCCCAGAGCTGAGCTGCACCCCCCACCTCCCCTCAGGGCCGGCCTGTCTTGCTGGGTGTGGCCTCCCAGATTATGAGAAAGGGACTTGTATTACTGACCTACAATATTGTAGCTGATAAAATGTCATATACATATATAGTCTAAAATGTATGGGATATAACGGTATGAACATTACATAGATTGAATATTAGATTATTATTAGTATTTGGATTTGAATTTTGTGGGGGTGGGGTAGGGGATGGGTTGAACTCAGGGCCATTCATATACAAGGTGAGGGCCATACCCCTGAGCTGCATTTCTGACCTTACTGCGAATATATGAAAAAGGGTAAACTTTATAGTTAATCTATAAAAGTAAAATTGTGGGGCTGGAGCAGTAGCACAGCAGGTAGGATGTTTACCTTGCACGCGGCCGACCGGGGTTCGATTCCCAGCATCCCATATGGTCCCCTGAGCACCACCAGGAGTAATTCCTGAGTGCACGAACCAGGAGTAACTTCTGTGCACCGCTGGGTGTGACTCAAAAAGTCAAAAAAAAAAAGGTAAAATTGTGCCGAAAGATTGTTTTAATTATAGAGGACAGACTGAACCTAATAACTGAGGAGAGCAGAGAACATGATAATGGAATTGAAATTCAAGTAAACTTAGTAGACTGTCTTCCTTCTGATCTGATATTGGACCTGCAGAAATTCACAAGTTGTCAAGCAGATTATTCAAGGTTTTTGTTTTTTTTCTCTTTGGGTCATACCCAGCGATGCACAGGGGTTACTCCTGGCTCCGCACTCGGGAATTACTCCTGGCGGTGTTCAGGGGACTATATGGGATGCTGGGAATCGAACCTGGGTCAGCCACGTGCAAGGCAAATGCCCTACCCCCTGTACTAACGCTCCAGTCCCTCAAGGGTTGGTGTTTTTTTTTTGTTTTTTTTTTTTTTTTTTTGGTGGGAGGGAGACACCCCTGGCAGTGTTCACGGGTTACTCTTGACTCTGCTCAGGGGTCATTCCTGGCAGGAGCCCTTATGCGATGTGGGGGATTGACCTGTGTAGTCCTAATGCAAGGCAAGTGCTTTAAGTGTTCTACTTTCTGTTGCAGCATTATGGTTTTATTGTTATTGTTTGTTTTTGGGGTCACACCTGGCAGTGTTTAGGAGTTACTCTTGGCTCTGTGCTCAGGGTTCACTCTTGGTGAGATAAAGGTAAAGGTAAAGGCCCTCCCGTTGTTCATTGATTTGCACGAGCGGGCCCAGTAACGTCTCCATTGGAGACTTTGTTGTTACTGTGTCTGGCATATCGAATACGTCACAGGGAGCTTGCCAGGCTCTGCCGTGCGGGCGAGATACTCTCGGTAGCTTGCTGGGCTGTCCGAGAGGGGCGGAGGAATCGAACTCGGGTCGGCCATGTTGGCTGCGTGCAAGGCAAACGCCCTACCGCTGTGCTGTCGCTCCAGCCCAGCTTGGTGAGATATATCGACCATATGGGGTGCTGGGGATTGAAGCTGGGTCAGCTGTGTGCAAGGCAAGTGCCTTACCTACCAACTGTACTCTTATTACAGTCCCAGTAGTCAAGTCTTTTATTTTTTTGGGGGGGGGGTCATACTCAGCGATACTCAGGGGTCACTCCTGGCTCTGTGTTCAGGAATTACTCCAGTCAGTGCTCAGGGGATCTCATGGGATGCCAGGGATCGAACTCAGATCTGCCATGTGCAAGGCAAACTCCCTACTCACCTTCCTACTGCCCCAGCCCCTTTATTCAAGTCTTTAGCATTTCGGTGTTAACGGTCTATAATTTTGGCTTCTGGGCTTGGGATCAGTGCTCAGGGAGGATCATGCTCTGCCAGGAGTTTAGCTTAGAGCTTCTGTATGCAAAGCGCGCCGTCATCTATTTGAATCATCTCCCCAGCTGGAGCGATAGCACAGCGGGTAGGGCATTCGCCTTACAAGCGGCCAACATGGCCGACCCGAGT